TTTTTTTTTTTTTTTTTTTTGCTTTGTCCTGACAATTAAAGCTTTTTTAAAAAATATGATTTAAATCATTCCTGTGTGAATAGTTTGGTTTAGTTATTGGTATCGTAAATATTTACATTTTGATCATGATTTTGCATACCTCTAAAAATTTCTGAATTATTTTACCGGAAAAAAATGCAAATCTTTGTTAGTTGTTGATTCCCTGGTTTTAAATCCCATTTAGAAAACACCCAAAATGAGCAGTATCAAATGTTTTTATTATTCTTTTGAGACCTTTTATAGCAACAGTTTGACGTCTGATTCTCTCAGCAGCATCTCCACCTCTGCTGCTGCCTCTTGTTGTGCTTCACCCAACGGCTGTTCCGTCTCTGCTGCTGTCACCTCCTGCTTTGCCCTACATAAGGCAAAGGCTTCACTTAGAAATAGTGCTGCCACTTTACAATAGGGCTCTCCTTATAGGCTAATCGTCATAAAACGATCGGCTAATTGTCATAAAACGGAGACAGATGGACCCAGTATTCAAGGTGAGACAGTAAGTAGGAAAGTTCAAAACGTTTATTAATATAAAAACATAAACAAAATGAAACTAAAGTGGAGTTGCTAGGATCTGCAACTCTCGGATGCTGCAGAAGGGGGGCGGGGCACCGCCCAATCTCAGACACTCTAGTGGGAGAAACACAGGTTAGTGACCACGATCATCTGACAGAAGATGATGATCTCAGCGAGTCACTTACCTGGTTTCATAGTTCAGTCCATCTCCCTGGAAATGGGTGCAATCCAGCCACTGGACTGAAGGCAGACGCAGCATGCGTCCCTAAGAGTCCCAGAGGACTTGCAGGAAGCCGATCCTGGACAGGGATTCAGAACGATCAGGAACAGGCAGGATCCAGGCCTCCTGGCATCCTAGAGCTCCCAGGCAGGGTCAGAGTCCAGAAGCGTGGCAAGGAGTACACGCACAGGAGCAGACAGGATCAGGTGCAGACGGGCAGGCTCAGTGGAAGAGGGTAGCAGAGACAAGACGCGAAACCAGAACTTGATGCAGGACCTTTAAACTGGTCTCCACCTTGGAACCCGGCTTACTGAGATAATAACTGAACCTGCCCGCGTACAGAGCCAAAAACCTAGAGGACTCAGCAGGGGAGCAACAGTGGATGAGCAGGAGACGAGACACACACAAAACCCTCTTTCCACTGGCGCCAGGATCCAAGACAAGAACCTTTGAACAAACAGAACTCAACAGACTGAACAGAAAGCAACATCTAATGATCTGGCCATGATAGCTGGAACTGAACCTTATATAAGGGAAACTGGCAGGTGGATTAGATGAATGATAATTAGGAGCTGGAAAGAGTAAAACAGGTGAAAGGCATGAGTAATTAAGGCCAGCTACCACAGCAGATCATGACACTAATAAATAATATAGATACGTTATCAAGTAATCTGAAAACACTTTCATCCTATTTATTCATTCAACATATGTGCATGCTAAAATTATGATTGAAAATGTTTATTTTTCTTACAAGATAGTTGATTTGTTTGAAAAGTTGAATACAAGCATGTGAGGTATTTGCACAAACCAGCCAGAAAATCACTGAAAATTAAGTGTGCAAAGTGTTCAAAAATTTATAAACTGGGCCCAAACACAGAGGTCAACAAAACAGAGTTCAATTCAGGTACTAACATTTAGAGCTCAAGCACAAACTGTCCCATTAAACAAGACTTTGGAAACTTGAACAGTGGCTGATCAGACCTCTGTCGACACAAAAGGGGGATAACTGACTGACAAACTAACAAACACATAATCTTCATTTAACATAGAAATACTTGCCAGACACTAAGTACTTTTTAAATTTAACAAATTAACAAAACTAACCAAAAGAAAGTACATCTAAACAAATAATAAAAATATTTCCCTTCCCATTACAACAAACGGTGTGACCCGCTGATTAGCCGACCAAATGAGAAGAAAGCTGGAGCTCATTGCAGCCCTCCAGGAGCACATCCAAAGGGAACTGGCAACTCAAAAAAAAAGAAATGAATCAATTGCATTTTAACAAAAATACAACAAACTGACAAATAGTGTTAACTAAATGTGTGCACTGCAAATAGATGAATAAAAGTCAGGCTAATGAATATATTTAAAAATGTGTAACTAATTTTGAGAATGAAAAAAGAAATCACCACACAGCTTTAGAGTGTGACAGCAGGCTGTCACAGAAGTCTCACTGGACCAGAGATAATCTGCGCTCACATTCAGCTTGCCAGGGATATGCTGCACCATGAAGCAGAATGGCAAGATACCATCGAGTAATGAGACACATTTGTGTTCTTAATTTGCTGCAGCCACTGGAGAGCTTTGTGGTCTGTCTGGACAATGAATAATACTTCAGAGAGTCCAGTGCCAACTTTATTCCCTTCCCTTAAATAAAAAAGAAATAAAAAGCTCCCCAACGATTTTGTTTAGGTTCCGAGAAATGCAGAAAAAAAAAAAAAATCAAACATTCACAATAATAAAACATCCAACCAAGCTATGTTAATTTGATCTCTCTTTGCAATTTTTCCAATTTTATGTGATTTGTAATTTTTACCACAAGAGGTCTCACTCCGCTTTAACACAAACCAGAGGAATTTAAGTCAGAGGACAGAGTCAGTGCAAACTGGGTTCAGAACAACTGGAACAGTTTGTCTGACAGAACAAGGTGGAAAACAGATCAGATTGTTCATTTCAGTACAGTCACATGACTGCAACTGTGGTGTTTGGAAAAAAATGTCAGATATCTGCTGCCTAAGAGCTGAGTATGTTGTAAAGCATGAACAGCATAAAAAAGCAGGCTGCTCTCCTCCCAGCTCTTACTCAACATGTTAGTACATCTGCTGGCTTTCAAAAGATTCCTGAAAAGGATATTGCAACATATGCTTCAGTCTCAACAGAAGAGGAAGTAAGAACTGGGAAGAGCACGGGTAAACTTTTTTTTTTTTTTTTTCCCACCAAAAGATGTTTTTAGTGGCTTTTTATGGAACCTAAGGAGGCGAGTACCTTTACAGAGGAACTAACATAATACCAGACTGGTGAGTTCTTAGCTTTAACCAACACAGAATAAAAACAAGCATGAACTGTGGAAGATTTTGACTGGATATAAGCACCAGCAGTACCATGTGGGATGTCCTTATAAGGTTAGCATCTGTTTGCTGCTCAGTGCTGGCTACTGTTAGATCTAAATCTAAATCTACAGTTTGGTCAGAAAACACCAAACCTGCTCCACTATATTTTACTTTTATTTTCTTCAAGCCAAACAAAGTTCAACTCAAAAGTGCGGATAATTACCTAAGGAGAAGGATTAAAATATTTTCAAAAGAAGCTCAGTAAGAAAGGTCTCCAACTCCAGCACCAGGCCATGTGGTTTAAGAAATGTACCTTAAATCTCTAAAATTAAGCGTATAGACATTTGTAAACTTCTTATACCAATTAATGAGTTCCAGATCATAACCACAAATATTTGTGTTTTACCAGAACAAACTAATGTAAAGCAAGATATAACAAATTTTAAACCTAAGGGGGAAAGATAAGGTTTTTAAAGCACTAATAAAAAAAAACCTACGAATGTGAAGTGTATTGGCATTTACCCCATTCATTTTGATACCCCTAAATGAAATAAATCACCTAATAAGTGTAAAAAGACAACAGCTTTTATTTCAAACTTGCAATAAATCTGTTTTGTGAATCTCGGGGATGTGTTAGAGCAAACAGAAACATGAAGACAAGGTAAAGTAGGATTTGCATATGGAAATATACCAAACTTTGGAAATCTTCTCCTATCCATGATATGAAAAAGAAAGGTACAAATGCAAATCTACTATGACATTAGAGTCCACCCAAATGGACAGGCCGAACAAAGAGACTAGAGATGCCAGGTGACTTTGGAGGACCTGCAGAAATCCTCAAGTCAGATGGAAAATCTGTTGATACTCCTAGCAGTTGTTATCTATCTATCTATCTATCTATCTATCTATCTATCTATCTATCTATCTATCTATCTATCTATCTATC